AAAAAAAATTTAAATTAAAGAAAAAAAAAACTGGCCGAAGTTATATTACAGCATTCATTGACAAGCAAAGCAGTAGATCAAGGTTTTATTCATTCATCCCATCACCGATATCGTCTGCAGATACAGTAATTTTGTGAAATTAACACTGCAGCAGCTTCCTTGCACCAATATTTGCCTTTTGATGGAAGACACGTCTTAAATACGGTGCGTCTTTATTCTGAAAAAAAATTAAAATGAGCTTGTTTAATTCAACAAGGAATACATGGAAGGAATCAACAGAACTGCAACAACATGCACAAATGCATAAATGTATAAATTCTAAGCCAAAAGTAGTTACAACTACTCAAAATTACTTATACAAGGCTACAACATTATTTTCCAAAATCAATGAAATGAAGTCAAAATGGCATCAGTTATTGACCATAGCTGAAGAGATTAAAAGAAAGGTGAAGCTGATTTAAACTTACCAGAACAGGCCTTTGATTTGATTGTGTTCATCTCCTTTTCAAGCTGACTGAAGTTTTCTACCTCAACCACTTGATCATCTTTGTTATCAGCAATTGAGAGAAGTGTTCCTTTGTCTATACCTCTGCCAATCCCTACGGCAACAACTCTAACATCCTTGTCCTTAACAAGATAAATAAATATAATGAATAATGCACTATAGTATATACTAATAGAGAGGATAGCGTTAAAGGCACGCAGTAATCGGCTCCTTAAACTACGAATATCCTTTGTTAGATATCATGAAGTTAACATGGATTGAACCATGCATGGAGACAAAAATACTTTACGAAAGCATAAATGAAAAAAGGAAAATTACGATAGAAAACATTTCTAATTTAATGATTACATTTGAAAATTTATGTCACGGGAAAGGTTGTCATACGAGTTTGATATGTGCATGATATTTCAAATTACTTTAAGGTCCCTTTCAATTTACTTGACAAAAGTAAGATGAGTGCTAATTGTACATCCTGTGAGAAAAAACAAAAACAACGACAGTGACAAACTCACTTTGAAATCTTCCGCTATTTTATCGGCAAACTCCTTGAAGTCAAAATTCTTGTCGCCTTTAGGTTTTGTTGGTCTTCCATCTGTGAGTACAATCATAACGTTTGGTTTGTCTGGTCTGTCTCCTCCTTCCTCGGTAAACAGCTGATCCCTCGCCATTATCAGAGCCAGATCGGTACGGGTGTATAGTTCCAACTTACGAGGTTCTTCGGCTATTTTCTGCAAGAGGGCATTCTCGTCATGATATTGTGAGTCGGCAAATTTAAACACCATTTGGGCCTTCTCATGAAACGTGATAAAGCCGAAGTGATCTTTATCAGGCGCAGGATGGAAGGTTTTAACAAGGTCACCAATGAAGGTGATAGCCTTTTCGAGATTTGGTAACTTTACACTCTTGGACTTGTCGAGAACAATTGCAATGTCTAGTCCAGCTGTGCATAGAGGAGCTGTTGAAATGAAAGAATAAAATATCCCGAAGAAATGTATCAATGGTTTTATAGTTGCAACAGTGACAGCAGTCAGGTCTATATAGCGACCCAACATCAATCCACTCATGTACCCCATAAGTAACTCTGCTTAAGCCTCTAAATATGATGAAAGTATGTCTCATATAAGCTACAGTCTGATACAAGGATTTCCAGCCCTGAGGAAAGCCGTAACAACACACGTGAATAAATACGACATTTTTCAGCATATAGAACAGGTAAACAAATTTTTTTTCACATCTAAATAAACCGCTC